CCTGGATTCCCTGTGTTTCCAGTTCCTATCTGTACCAGTGTACATCCTCTGGTCTAGCCAGATTTGTAAGGTAGAATTGGGATAATGATAGTAGGCGGGGGAGGAAGCATTTAAGGACTAGAGGAAAGTTGTATTTTTCATTGTTGCTACACTGCACCCTGATTGGCTCATCTCCTCCCCATGACCCTTTCGTAACGGGATGTCCAATTGCCTACAGATGGGCTTTGGGTCTCCACTCCACCACTCCCTCATTTCACAATAAGTTTTTTTGTTCTGATGATGCCTGATAACTGACCCCTTAGGCACCTCGTGGTGTGCTTCTTCCATGTGGGCTTTGTTTTCTGAGATGGCCACTTGTTTACCTTCAAGCCTTTAAGACCCCAGATGCTATATCTTTTGATAGCCGGGCACCATCGGCTTCCTCCACATTTGCTTATACACCCGCTTTGTCTTCAGCGATCGTGTTGGGAAGGTGAGCACCATGGAATGCCCGTTTAATAGAACAAAGTATTCTTGCATTGAGGGAGTACTTGAATGGAGACCTAGTGTCTACCTGCTAGAAGGTAGGATCTTATAAGGACGGTTTATCGATGTTGTGTTAAGATTCGCTATGAGTCCAGAGCAGCAAAGCTGAAAAGAATCGTCTGCTCTCCTTCACAATGTATGCCTTACGTAGAACTATATTGTCGTAGGGTTTCTGAGCTGTGTGATTACTCAAAGGAAAGCACAAGATAATAATCAAATTCTTGAAATGTGCTAACACCATCTGTTAAGTTAGAGGGCTGTTATCCTTAGTTTGAATGGCCATTATGATAGAAAGACTAATACAGGAGTCGGTGCTCAGAAAGTTAGTTATTCCTAGCCTTATGGATCCATGAAGGTTAAGGAATTGGGTAGTTCCTACCCACTTGGAGGTGAAGATTTGTAATTAGTATATAGACGTATAGTAATCAAGTCCAGTGTTTTTTTTAATCTTTGCCTCTGTCGGTTCATAGATGTATGGATTGATTCCAAACAGAATGTGTTTAAGCATATTTCCACATACCTGTATATCTCTGTGACTAGTGAATGGCTGCAGACAAGTTCTCTAATTTGCCCTAGTCTCATCTTGGTACCTTTAAAATAAAAAAAAGAGATCTGAGCAGTGGCTTTCAAAAGAACTCTGCTGACTCACCTCAGAAGCTTCTAACAACATGTTTTGGAATTTCAGAGGGGGATCATCCTAAGATTTTCTCAAAGGGCATAGGGCAATCTCTAGGACCTTAAGACATTTTAAGAGCATAGAAAACGACATTGATGAAAGAAGCCAGGAAAGTTTGCTGAGGAGATTTTTCCCCCATCATGATAATGCACCTGCTCATTCTACAGTGGTAGCAGTAGGAGAATTTCTTTGCAAAACCTCTTACCGTATTTACCATGTCCCTTCAGGCTTCATTTTGTTCTGCAAGCTCACATGTTTAAAAGGAAAGCAATTTGAGCTCTTCAAATATGTCAAGATTGCTCTGTTGATGTGGTCTGATGTGAGTAGCACGACACTGTTCAGGAACGGTTTAGAGAAATGGAAACCCTCAGAGACACAGACGTAGGTGAAAGCCGTGTCAGGGAACAGTGGCCATGTTTCAGTGTTTGCTTCATAAAGATTTCTGTGATTTTTATGCTCTACTTTTTTAAAAAAACTTACCTCAGATATGTGAGCTGAAATACTTGATTGAATATGTGTGAACATCTGGAATAGTTTACTTGAATATTGTTAACTCTTTAATGTTCTGGGGTTTTTGTTTTTTTTTCCTTAAAGGTCACTGGTTTGGTAAAATTTCTTAGTATAAGACCTGCGAATTTCCCCCTTATTGATAGACATTTATTTGATTTCTGTTTAGTTTGAGATAAAGTAAAGCAAGTGCTGTGTTGGTATGAAAATTGTTGGCTATTTCTCTCATTTATAAATGTTAGAGTTGTTCTAGGTCATTTATAGAAGGGGCATCAACTCTTCTAGATAGTGCTGAATTATTTTCCAGTCAGTTGTATCACTATTAAAACTTTTTCTAGATTCCCATTTCTCTACTCCTTGCCAACATTTGGTTTTATCAGACTTTACTTTGTAACTATATGGCGAGTATATGCTTGTTCTGAATTATATTTTCCTGATATTAATGAAATTTAGCATCTTTTCCATGCCTGTGCTCAGGGTTTTGTTTTACTTTGGATACAGTGGTTTTTACTCTTTATAGTTTTTGGTTTATTTGTCTCAGTAGGGGTTTTGCATGTGGTATAACAAAGATTGCTTTTAAATGCTAATAATTTAGTTATACAACTAGAGACTAACCCATTGTGCCATGTTTATATTTGATTGCACAAGGGGAAGAATTGGATAGTTTTAAAACCAAATATTAACGTGTGAAAGTGTCAAGTAGAAGTTTCAACTCGCCTTGGTAACTACTGGCCTGCCTGCTTGCCCTACTTTAGCCCTGTCGGCATTGCCTGGTGGCATAGTGGGTACAGCATCCCAGCCGAGAGAGATGAGGCGGTCTGTTCCCGTAGGCTTTAGAGAAGCAGGACCACTGCCCTGCAGACTTACTATGAGTCAGAACCGGCTCGGAGGAAGGAGATTTTTGGTTTTCATATTTTTCATCTTGTTTTGCTGGATACACCTGTCTAAGCCCTGTAGAATTGCATTGTGCCTTTGTCTGAATCAAAGCCTGTTTGAATGCAGTAATTATGTTAGAGACAGCCTCACTGGTGGGTAGAGAGGACAGTACTTTTGGAGAGAGAGAGAGAGTGTGTGTGTGTGATTTTTAACTTAAAAAATAACTTTTTCCATTTCTTTGCCTGTAAAACAGGGATAAAAGGCTTAGTCTTTCAGACTTAAATAGAAACTTAGAATGGTTTCTAGTCACCTAACTGTTTACAGAGCCCCCTCTAAATGAGTGGGGAATATTCATATTGGTTCCAGTTCCCTAGTCTTTATTTTAGTAATGTTTTTCAGCTTTACATTTCCTTCTTATTTAGAGTCCACATCAGGAGACAAATCTGTGTCCCATTCTTGCACAACACCTTCTACGTCTTCTGCCTCTGGACTGACTGCCACAGCTGCACCTCCAACAACTGCTTCGGCAGTCCCAGTCTCACCTGTTCCACAGTCACCAATACCTCCGTTACTGCAGGACCCCAATCTTCTTAGACAGTTACTTCCTGCTTTGCAAGCTACACTGCAGCTGAATAATTCTAATGTGGATATATCCAAAATCAATGAAGGTAAATATAGTAACAATTTCAAAAAAAATTCATGTGTATTATCTAAACTTTTGAGTATAAAAAATTCTTCTGCTTTAGGAATGGTCTTTGTTTTGAAACCCATATTTGCATTTCATCTTCTTAACAGAGCTTTTACATTCCCCTTAGCTTAAGCCCTTTGGTAAGGTCCGTGAGCTAGTGGTACTTAGATAGCTATGTGCCTGCGGAGGAGATGCTGTTCTGTGTGCTTGTGTGCACCTTTCTTCTAAGTAAAACCAAAGACCACTTGCTAAAACCATTAAAATCTCATTTCCAATGTGTTTCTTTATATATGGTTTAAATAACTCTTTAGAATATTAAGGGCATGGTAATTAGTTGAAGACTAGGAACTCCCATTATTTTCTTCTCAGAATATTTGGGGGGAAATTATGGAGAGAAACCAGGTGACTTTTTGCTGCTTTTCTTGGTTAATTGCGTTTGGTTCTTCCCAGCACTGCTTCTGAACATGGTACTAAGGTAGTTAGACAGCCACCTCAGAGAAGAGATTTGAAGAAGAGTGAGCGGATTTAAGGTGTATCAACTTTTCCGACCCTGAGACTATATTTGTGTCACGAAATCTCTTAGTTTGGAAACGTTTGTTTCCATTTATGTACATTTTCTGAAGAGCTACCATGTTTTGTGTTATTTCTACAGCTAAGCACTTCTCTTGTGGGTAAATACTTGACTGAGTTTCAGGTTCTAGTGAACCTTCTTCAGGGTCTTTAAAATTGTTTATAGGGAGTATCTACTATATAATAATAAAACGTTCCTTTTTCTCAGCCTCACAGCAAAGTCATCTCAGATTCTGAGAACCATGATAGTAAGCCTATTTCCTGGATTAATAAGAGGCTCCTGGTTTAAAACGTTTACTATCTCTGAATTCTTTTGTTACTAGTGTCACATAGACCTCTGTTGGTACTTGAGTTTAGGAAATAATGGTTTCAGTTCTTACAGCAGCTGTGACACAAGCCTCGCTGCAGTCTATAATTCATAAGTTTCTTACTGCCGGACCATCTGCTTTCAACATCACTGCTCTGCTCTCTCAAGCTGCTCAGCTCTCCACACAAGGTACTTTTTATGTTCTTGAGTATCTTTGACTTGTGTCTTTATTTCCTTTTGAAATAATAGCAAACTTTATTTTATTACTTCCTTTTTACTTATTTACAAGTTTTTATTACTCTTAGAGAGATTAGCTATAATTAATGTTTGCTTGTAGCACTAAAAACATTCATTACTTTAATGAAACAAAACTTTGACATTTACGGTGTTGCCATTAAAGCCCTGTTTAATTCAGAATTTAAATTCTTAATGGCATATTTTGTTTCAATACCGAAATTAAATTCTGATACTGTCCTAAATCATTGTGAAAATTGCACGCATTTTAGATGAGTTGAGATTCAGGTCAGTTTGCTATCAAACGACATTTGGTTAAAAACTATTAAAATGGGGAGGGGGGAAGAAAATATTAAAATGCCCAAATTCTGCCATGATTTAGCTGTTCCTCCTCTCCGTGAAGGAGTCCGTTGAAGGAATGTTATATGGGAATAGATAGCAAGTAAAGGATCAGTTTTAGGAGGCTGTGTCTCTCAACTCCATTTTAGAAAGCAAATAGATTGAGCCTGGGATATTGGGCCTAAAATTGAAATATAGCAGTAAAAATATTCATACTACCCACTAGCTGGCTTCATTAGGTATGAAGCTACGGGGATAGTAGTTTAAATGTAAAAATAAGAAACAAATAACGCTGAGAATTTCTTCGTGTGAGAGAGTAGGTTCATGCTTAGCTTCCTATTTATTCTTCCAGAAAGAAAGAAGGGCCACATTGGGTGTGCTCATCTTTAACACACAGAGGCAACTCCAGCTGATTTCGTCATTGTTGTCAAGTCTTAATGTAGATGTTGGTTTATTCAGAGAAGTCTTCTCTTGGAGAAACTGTGAGGGAGTCTGGCAAGATTTTTCCCCCACGTATATTTGACTTATTGCTTGCTCTCTTCCAGCCCAGCCATCTAATCAGTCTCCAATGTCTTTAACATCCGATGCATCATCCCCAAGATCTTACGTGTCTCCAAGAATAAGTACACCTCAGACCAACACAGTTCCTGTCAAACCTTTGATTAGTACTCCTCCTGTTTCATCACAGCCAAAGGTATGTTACCTTTGAGGGAAATTTGGAACACAAACTGCTTATTTACTTTGGGAAAATTAGTTTAACACAGTGCTTTAGAATCTGTATAGTAGATAGTGGATGTTCTTTATACAAAACGAGATGTAGTGCTGAGGTGAAGGATGGGAGATGTGGTTTAGGGGACTTCTTTCCATTTGCGTTAATCTCACACACTAAAAAAATTGAGGATAGGGTAAGCCTGGGTCTAGTCATTGACTTGAAATTTGAACCTGCATTTTCCTGATTTTTTTTTTTTGAGCCCTGGTGGAGTCGTGATGGCTACACACTGAGCTGCTGGGCTGCTGACTGCAAGGCCAGCAGTTTGAAACCACCAGCTCTGCTCAGTGGGAGAAAGGCGGAGCTTTCTACTCCCATTAAGAGTTTTAGCTGCAAAAACTCTAAGGGCAGTTTTACACCCTGACTTACAGCATTGCTAAGTGCGGACATCAACTCTCAGTGAGTTTGGGTTTTGGTTTTTCAGAACCTGTTTTACCAAGCTGTATGTTGCCCGCATGTCTGAGTAAAAGCTTATATGGAAATAGCTCCCCATGGCAATTTGGTTATCGTTCCTTAATTATAAACTGAGACTGATTTTATTGTCAAATTTTGGGCCACATCACTTATTTTTGAGTCTTATCCAACTTTCCTAAGTAAACCCCACTTGTATTCATTTGCTTTCTCACATGTCTTCTAGTTAAAAAAGGTTTAGGATTTACTACATACAAACTGGAAATATAAAAATCTATTTGAACAAGTTTGAAATTGATGATGGGCCAGGTTTTAGCTCTCTTTATTGGCTCATCCCTTCCTTACCTTAGAATCTTATAGTTAGGAAAATTGTTTAAAAGCATGTTAGATTTGTTCGTTTATTGAGGAATTGCTAGTTTTTCTAGTGCAGTAGTTCTCAACCTTTTTCTTTTTTTAATTCTCAACCTTCTTAATGTTGTGACCCTTTAATACAGTTCCTCATGTTGTGGTTGCCCCCCCCCCCCAAACATAAATTTATTTTTGTTGCTACTTCATAACTAATTTTGTTACCCACAAATCATTAAATGTGAGCTCCAGCAAACACGTTTAGAGCTTAATAAAAAACTTGGCGTTGCAGTGGTATTTTTAGAGTACAATACGTGGTGGCTAAAAGGTATAGTAAGTGGTGGTGGTTTTGCAACCAACATTTCATACCCCTGAGCAGATGGACCCACCAGCCTTTTATAGTCAAAATACTATTGGAATTGCTTTTCAGAACAATTGGGCTTGCAATCTTAAATTAAAAACAACAAAACCTTCAACCTCATTGCCATTGGCTCAGGGCGGACTCACAGCAACCCCCTATAGGACAAGGTAGAATTGCCACTGATTTTCCTATACTACTTTTACGAAGTAGAAAGCACACTCCCCCAACCCCCGTCTTTATCTGCAAAGCAACCCTTGGTTTCAAACTATTGACCTTACAGTTAGTAGCCTAGCAGCTCAATGTGTGATCAGTATACCACTCGTGTTCTGGGCCATCCTCTATAGAAGTTGTAAATGTGATCTTTCAAAATTACTTTTGAAGAACTGGTAGTGTTCAGCACTGTTAAGATTATGCAGATTAGTTGCAACTAAAAAAAGTCTGCTGCTGGATTTGATTGGCTGCTGTGGCTTAATCAGAAATGCTTCCATCTGCTTTTTTGCCTTCAGTTTGGGGATTGCATTTAACTCTCCTTATCTCTCCCTCTGGGGTATCTAATACGAATAGTATGTTTATCTATTGGTGGCCATGAACTTCTGATGTACCACTACAGAATAACAGCTCTTTAAAGACATTCTTAGTTGAATTTTGTATGGTGTCTGCATATTACCTAAATCCACTTCCCTTCATATTTTGTTCAAATCTGAATGACCCTTTATCTGTATGATGTGGTAACATTGGATATTATTTTTGTAATAGACGTAACAGATTTCCAAATTACAGGTTAGTGCTCCAGTAGTTAAACAAGGACCAGTTTCACAATCAGCCACTCAGCAGCCTGTACCTGTTGAGAAACAGCAAGGTCATGAGCCTGTTTCTCCTCGAAGTCTTCAGCGCTCAAGGTATGTTGATGTTTGTTTTGAGACTCTATAAGTTCATTTATTTTCCCTTTAATACAATGGTTGGCATTGTTTGAATACTATAAATGTATATCTGTAATAGAATGGAATATCGGGAAGGAGCAATACATGAATTTACTAGCTGTGAATTATAAATTTTTAAAAGATGAATCTGATAATACAAGTCAGTTGTTGGCACTTGTCATACTGTTTTTGCTTTGCTTTTTTTTGTTTTTTGCTTTTAATCATTTTATTGGGGGCTCGTACAACTCATCACAATCCATACATACATTGTGTCAAGCGCGTTTGTACATTTGTTGCCATCATCATTCTCAAAACATTTGCTTTCTACTTGAGCCCTTGGTATCAGCTCCTCATTTTTCCCCTCCCTCATGAACCCTTGATAATTTATAAATTATTATTTTGTCATGCCTCACACTGTCCAATGTTTCCCTTCACCCACTTTTCTGTTGTCTGTCCCCCAGGGAGGGGGTTATATGTAGATCATTGTGATCATTCCCCCTTCCCTTGACACTCCTGTATTGCCGCTCTCACCACTGGTCCTGAGGGGTTCATCTGTCCTGGATTCTGTGTTTCCAGGTCCTATCTGTACCCGTGTACACGCTCTGGTCTAGCCGGATTTGTAAGGTAGAATTGGGATCATGATAGTGGGGGTGAGGAAGCATAAAAGAGCTAAAGGAAAGTTGTATGTTTCATCAGTGCTGTACTGCACCCTGACTAGTTCGTCTCTTCCTTGTGACCCTTCTGTAAGGGGATGTCCAATTGCCTATAGATGGGCTTTGGGTCTCCACTCCTCACTCCCCCTCATTCACAAGGATATGATTTTTTGTTCTTTGATGCCTGATACCCGATTCCATGGACACCTCGTGATCCGCACAGGCTGGTGTGCTTCTTCCATGTGGGCTTTGTTGCTTCTCAGCTAGATGGCTGCTTGTTTACCGTCAAGCCTTTAAGACCCCAGACACTATATTGATAGCTGGGCACCATCTGCTTTCTTCACCACATTTACTTATGCATCTGCTTTGTCTTCAGTGATAGTGTTGGGAAGGTGATTTGCATTGTTTTTAAAATGACTTCTCTAACATTTTATTTAGTGGAATATTACAGGAGTAAAATTATAAGATATACAAAAATTGTGTATTTTTATAATATTTCGTTTGGAATTAATGGTTTTAAACCTAATTTTAGCAGTTTTAGATTTGAATCTCTTGGTGGAAATAAAAATCTCGATGTCTAAAATTTGGACACTGATACCCAACTTGTGGGTGTTGTCGGCCTTTTCTAGTAACTAGCTGTGGTCCAGTACATATGCTTAATACCTAGTGCTGCATTGTGGTGTCAGTGAATCTTTGATGGTTAATAATACACTTGACCCCTGAACAACATGGCCTTGAGCTACATGGGCCCACTTATGCCCTAGATTCTTTTTAAAAATATAGCGTGCAGCTGATCTTTCTGTGTGAGCAGCTTGTCTCTTCATTAGCTTGTGTGCTACAGTGAAAAGTGATGTCTCATTTCTCATATTTGTCATCATGTTGAATGCCGAACCATAGACCATAAATAGCTGCATAGGATTCTACAAAGTGATGGTGGAAATTCTCCCCCCAAAGTAGACCAAAGTCATGACATTATAAGAAAAGTTCAATTGCTTGGAGATAAATAAACCCAGCATTAAGGAGCATTGCTAGAAGTTGGCACTGCAGCGTTCTCTCTCTCTCTCTCTCTCTCTCTCTCTATCTCACACACACACACACACACACACACACACTCTCTTGGCAGAATCCTTTATTGTATTTAAAATGGGATCTTTAAATGTGGGCTCAGCATATAGCATATTTGACTATTCACCTCTTCCATAAGGCCTCCAGTCAACAGTAGGCTATTAGTAGTTTTTGAGGAATCTAAAGTTATGTGGTTTTTAGCCACACGAGGCTGAGGAATTGCACACCGCCACCGCGCCCCCCCTCCCCCCCATGTTCAGTGGTCAACTGTACAACTTTAAAAGACACTGGTGAATGGTTGGTTTTCATTTGATTGTACCTATATTTAATCTCATGCTGAAGTGGCAAAATAATTCAAATGTTGTTTTTATTGTTTTTGAACAACCATTTCAGAACTCATACATCCAAATGAGAATTGTTCCCTTCAAAGTAATCACCTTGGGAAGCTGTCTACTTACCCCAGCACTGTTGCCGTTGCTCAGAACATTTTTGGGAAATTCTTCTTTTAAATTATCTTTAGAGGCTGCAGTGTTATTTTAAATATCCTCAGTGATGAATGCTCTTCATCCTTTGGGAGATTTAGTTTTTGGAGATGACTGAAATTCACTCAAAGCCAAGTCTGGTGGAGCAGTAGGAAGTCACTTGGGTGATGTCAGTTTTCATTGTCAGCACCACCCTCCTCCTGCAGCCCGGCTCGTGCCCCGACAGCTTTAAAAGAGGCGCTCCTTCTTAGAGCACTTCTCTGTCTTTGGTCTTATTTTGCCACTATGCTCAATCAGTGCTGCCCATAAAATGCTTGTATTACCGACCAAGGGATTCAAACAGTTTTTTTTTGGGGGGGGGGCGGGTCCCATTATCTTGCGTTCTCCTACAATCTTGAAGTATTTAAAAAGCAATCTTCAGGTGCCCAATAACTGTAGTTGTTCCCATGGGGGCTGTTTTTTACTTACACTCTCACTACTGTTTGTGGTATCATAATGTCACCAAGTCTTGCTGTCAAATTTGAGAATGAAATTTGATTCTAATGTTAGTGTTTAAAGGATTGACTCTCTTTCCTCTGAAAAGTGTATTAAGAAAGACATAATATAAATGTACTGAGTTTTAAATTTCCATTTTAGAAGTTTAGCACATTTTTCTTTAGAGTTTGGATTCCTAAGTAAGTATTCACAGACACCTTAGGATACTTGAAACTATTTGAAACATACCACACATTCCATTTTGTTTTCTCTTTAGTAGCCAGAGAAGTCCATCGCCTGGCCCAAATCATACATCTAGTAGTAATGCATCAAACGCAACAGTTGTACCACCGAATTCATCTGCCCGGCCTACGTGTTCATTAACACCCACGCTAGCAGCACACTTCAATGAAAATCTCATAAAGCATGTTCAAGGATGGCCTGCAGATCATGCCGAGAAGCAGGTATGCTACATGGATGAAATGTGGCCTAATGAAGACCTTTGGGATGGACTAGCAAATTTGAAGTTAATTTTGCTTTGAGGAAAATCTGATCTCTTTATCTTATAGATGTATTTGTAACTAACTTATCATTACACTCCTGCTAATTCTTATTTGTACATCTAAACGGCCAGTCACTGGGTCTCGACCAACATCTGTGCCTGTGTCTTTAAGACATTGTAGGTCAGTTGTGTATACACACATGGTTCTTAGATTAGACTTTCTTCAGGGATTTAAAAAGCCGTACATGCGGCACGTAAAAGTGATTGTGCTAAAGAATTTGTTGTAATTTAGGGTTTGGGCCACTTGTTTCAAATAGCAGGACTTTAAACTGTGGTTCTTCCCTGTCAGTCATAGCCAAGGAAGTGGCAGCTTCACCACTCACAGATCCATACCGACGGTACCACTTTGATTGTGTATCTCTCCACAGCCCCGCCCACAGTCCCATCTAAGCACCAGACTCTTGGAGAAGGGCTCACTCACTACACCTCTTCTTAGGCTTCAACCCATACTTTTTTTTAATCTGGTGACCGTGATGAACCACCCAGACTGTAAAAAATTTCTGTGTGTCTGCCATGAGAGAAGCAGTTCCAATGTTCCCAACTCTGGGACTGCATGCAGATGTGTGAAAGACCGTTTGTGGGTCACATGAACATACTTAGCGTTAATCAAGTGCTCGTGATTTTGTCCTGTGCGAAGTTCTTTTTTTTTTTTTTTTAATCTATTTAAAACTGATAAAGCATTTCAGATAATGATTTTTCCAATTTTGTCTTAAGGCCAAATAAATTATTCCCAGGTGAAGTTAATGCCTGCCGTGATGTGGCTCAAGGCTTAGTGTGCTTTTTTTCAGTCTACCTCACACAAGTGTTTGCCGGGCTTGTGTGAACTTTTATTCTCATGACTGTCCCACTAGGCTAACAAAGAGGGATCATTTTTGCTTTGCTACAAGGGATAGACAGACCATTCCACTACAGCTGTGGTCGATGTTCTAAAAGTTCATACGTCTCAATACAGAATAGGGCAGGGCCCATTTATCATACATACACTTGATCTCGAGGTTTGCTGATCTAGCATTCTTAGAATATTAACCCAAATTCACGCGATTCTAGTGCTATATACTGTCCTGAGAGTTAGGGTATTATTTTCTCAGGAACCTTTGGGAATTTTCATTACCCAACATTAGAGACTTCCTTCCTAAGGGGAAAGAGCACAACTCCCCCTCCCCAGGATTTGCTAGCATGGCTTTGGATATAAAGGAAAAGGATTAGATTAATTATGTACTTTTGGTACAAAATTCTTATGGAGATTCAGTATTTTAATTTGTATGTAAATTATATTTATTTATAGGCATCAAGATTGCGTGAAGAAGCCCATAACATGGGAAGTGTCCACATGTCAGAAATATGTACTGAATTAAAAAACTTAAGATCTTTAGTTCGAGTATGTGAAATTCAAGCAACTTTGCGAGAGCAAAGGTAAGTTTTTCCCTGAATGAAACTGTTTTTAGAATTATGCATACTAAATTTGAAGAATCTACTTTATATCATCAGATGTTTTTCTTATAAGTAGCTACATTTTTTTAAAAAAGTAAAATGTTGATGGCTCTTGATTTGAGAGCCACCACTCTCTTGTTGAAGGTGCTTATTTCAGTTGAAATTTCAATTTTATTTTACAATGCCTTGGACATTGTGAGATTTTTAGCTATTCAGAAAGTTGAACGTGATACAATATTTGTCATCTTAAGTTTTTTTTATATCCAAACTTTCATATTAATACCGTATTCCTCACAAGTAAAATAGCCACTACCGCATCCATTGCTGTTTCTGTGACTAAGTCTTGAGGGGATGCAGGAAACCGGTCTTTGTCCCTTGGAGCTGGCTGGCGGGGTTCCAACACATAACCACGACACCACCAGGGCTCATCCCTCATGTAATGAGTGGCTGGAATGGCTTCTCTTTGGTGAAGCATGTGATGTTGACCAGGATTGATGATTTTGTGGGTTTTAGATAGCCTATGGGCCAGATCTTTCGCAGTCCTATGGACCATAAGTGTGGACAGAACAGGTCAGAATAGAAATAGTTCATGAAATATATAGGAATCTAGTTAGCTGTGGGATAGGTGTTTTATTTCTTGTTTTAAATTTACAACATGCCAGTTGGGCTTTGGATTCACTTTTTAATGAAACTATCAACACGGAACTGGGGCGGGGGGTGGGGGTGGGGTTAGGAAGCCCTGGTAGCGCTGTTAGTTGACTGCAAGATCAGTCGTTCAAACCCACCATCTGTTCTATGGGAGAGAAAGATGAGACTCTCGGTGCCAGGAAAGACTCAGAGTCCAAATATGGTGGCTGAGTCAGAATTTATTTTTGTTGTTTATGTCTTGAGAATTGCACTTTTAAATTAGTAGCCTCTTACACTTAATTGTAGTCTTACTATATTGTGGCCCAGAAATAATGTATTATTAAAGAATGAGTGAATCCTCATGTGTACTATCTACTGGCTTTTATTGTGCTGTTTTTTAATATGGTAGAGTACACAGAACAAGTCGATTTTAATTCAGTTTTGATGTTCAAGTAAACCATTGAGAAAATGTTAGAAAACTAAGACATTGTAAAATTTCTCACTCTAGTACTTTATTGTAGTCAACAGTCAATATTTTTGCCTCACAATTTTAAGTTATTTAGTAATCGTTTTTTGAATCTTAAAATGCCCTATTTTATTTTTCAGGATACTATTTTTGAGACAACAAATTAAGGAACTCGAAAAGCTGAAAAACCAGAATTCCTTCATGGTGTGAAGATGTGAATAATGGCACATGGTTTGAGTACAGGAACTGTCTATCTGTTGCCCCATCTTAACATGTGGGAGCTGCATTTAATGTAGACTTTGGACCGTTAGGCTGGGCAAAAGAAATGACAAGGGGATGGGTCTGTGAGAGTCATTCAGGGGAAAGATACAAGATGGATTTGTAAAACCCTTGAACTGTAGATTTCTTGTAGATGTATTCTTCACGTTGTAAATACGTTTTGTAGAGTGAAGCCATGGGAAGCCATGTGTAACAGAGCTTAGACATCCACAACTAATCAATGCTGAGGTGGCTAATACCTAGCCTTTTACATGTCAACCTGTCTGCAAAATTAGCTTTTTAAAAAAAAAAGAAAAAAAGAATGAAAATCTGGGGATTAATTTATCATTCAGATATCTTGCATTTTCAGAAATTCAGTGCAAGCGCCAGGCGATCTGTGTCTAAGGGGGTGATTTTGAACCATATGGGCAGTGTACAAAAGATCATGAGACAACTGTTTCCACACTTGCACCTGATCAAGAGCAGTGCTTCTCCATTTGTTTTGCAGAGAAATGTTTTTCATGTCCCGCGTGTTCCATTTCCCTCCGAAATCCTCGATCTGATTTTATCCATTTTTAAAGGCTCCTCTTTTTCTCCTTTCTGAAGGCACTGTTGCTCTGGCACTTTTCTATACCCTTTCATGCCTGTGTACAGCAGCTTCAAACTGCAGTGATTGAGCATAGCCCACTTGTTTGTATAAATTATTGAAATCCATTTGCACCCTGTAAGAATGGACTTAAAAGTACTGCTGGGCCCGTGTGCTGAAAGTACACGGATTGCTCAAATACAAAGGAAATAGCCCAATGAACATGGTTGTGGGAGGGGACAGAGGAAACAAAGCTAGTCAGATGTGAATTGTATCTGTTGTAATAAACATGTTAAAACAAAAACAAAAATTGTTAATTTTGATTTCCTTCGGTCAATGCATATTAGAATTTGAACTACCTGGGGATTCTTTATCAGAACTATTCTTGTTGAATATTTATACTTGATTCAAATAATTCTTTAAGGGAAGTTTTGTTTAAGGCATTTTAACAGAAAATTGTGTATAAAATATTTAATGAAATACAAAATTCAACAAGAATGATTGAGTCACTCTACTCAAGTGGTTGTCATTTGTTAAACCCTGGTTTACCTGTCTTGCTATTATGACATTTCATTTGGAAGGATGTTTGTGTTGTAGCTAACTGTTCAAGTCTGGTGCTGACTGCTGTTCTTAGCCATCACAAAACGCTAAATTTGTGTAATTGGAGCTTCCTGCTGTTAGCTGGAAATGGTGGGAAAGCTCGGCTTTGTATATTGTTTCCTAAAGTATATTAAAATAAAAAAAGAAACTATTGCTACTATAAAATCACCTTGGCTTTTCTTTTCCTTTGTTAAAGTATTAGTCACATGGCCTTAGTATGACACTGCCAGTATTGTGTTAAGTCACAAGGGTTTCTGTATGCCGTAAAAAAAATCACTGACAAGATCTTGCCTAATTTTGAGTGTCTTTCTGTTGCTGGGGCAAATGCATTCATGTGCTTTCAGCACTGCCAGCACCCAGGGCTTGTTTTGTTGTCTTAGATGTGGATGTAATTGAGTTATGGGTTACTAACTTAAATTTGAAAGTTGGTCTTGTGTTCTAAGCATCTCGTAAGCATATTTTTCATATAGAGGTAACGCTCAGATTTTTCAGTAAATAAACCTTGTATGGACAATATGTTCTAAAAAACTCATACAAAAAATGTTCCAGTGTCATTAGGAAGAAGTAGTTTTATACTGGACAGATTTCCTCCCACCACCACACCGCACACATGAGAACACTTTTTAAGTGTAAGAAATATTCTTACGGAATATTCCTCCTCGTGAGATGACTAACATTGGCTGGATTTAGTGCGTGTCCACAAAGCCCTGAAGAGAGCGAGCTGGGTTCAGCTAGAACCCATCATAGGACAAGCCTGGATCCTTCCTTTTGGGAAAAACCATTGATGATGTGTAGTAAGCAAATGTTTCCTGAGCAGATGGCAACTTGGACATGTGGTTTAAGGTAAACTTGTTGAATTTGATTTGTTAATGGAATTTATTGATCTCTCAAGTTCACTCTTATCCATACATTTAAAAATGCTTACATCAGCAAGTGATATAAGGGGGCTTCAAAACATTTATGGAAAAATTGAAAGATAAAGGAATTATCCCACAAAGTCTTTGTATCGCTCGTGTGTATAGGAGGAGATAACCTAATTTGAGATTTAATGGTGAATTTTTAGAGAGACAAAGTTAAAAATCTTTTATGGAAATATTTTTACAATGTTCGATCAGTTATTTTGTAATTGTTTTAAATATTGCACTTTAATACAGATAATAGTTACTAACCTTTTTGATACCAATGAGGGATGATTTACTATTAAAGTAGACATAATATCTTAGAATACTCGATATCTACTTCCTTGAGTATATAACTCATTTTGGTGGGCAACTTGAAAGAAAATCCCTGAGTAGTCTCTTAAGACTTCCGGTGGTTTTTGTTTTGTGACTGAAAGGACGTTAATAGCCCGTATCCAAACACTGAGAACATGGTAATGTTGTACCATATTGTCTCGTGGAGGACGGCTGCTGGAAGTCCTGTGGAGCAAGTGTCCTTTGCTGCTGTTTGGTGGCTTGGTTTAGTTTGATTAAGGCAGGACTGTGACGTCCCTGATTTTAAGTAATGCTGCTGTGTTTTGTTTTTCCAACACATTATGCTTCTTTTAGTAGCTGAATGAGAGTTTATTTTCTTAATTCTAAATTTGACATATTTCACTTTGACACATTTGACACAAATTTTATGTTTGCAAAAAATAACTCATTGCCCCACTTCAAACACGGTTTCTTGTTCTGTTGAAAACAACCCTAAATGTAAGGAAATATTTCAGAGCTGGAGGGGCGGGGGCGCGGCAAAGTAACCCACTCCATCCCAGCAGAAGCATTGTGGTGGTGGGACAATAAGGTTCCTGTATGTAGCTGTAGGGTTTGACTCTGGATTTTTTTAAAAATACCTGTAAATAATGGCTTTATTCTTGTATATGTTCTGAAGTGTAAAAATGACACTAAAAATAAATATCTTTTGACAATTCTGTGCAGTTATTTCAGAACAATCTTTTGAAGCAGTCTTAGAGGACACAATTCACATTTGAGTAAGGAAACATTGCTTAACTTTGAATAGCTAAGTGTTTCAGTAGTCTACCTATTTTTTAGTTGCCCTTTTTAAAACATTAACCTCCAGCTGGTATACGTTGGGCCTGTTCTAGTTCGCGGGACCCTCCTGACTTCTTGGAGGAGTGCAGACACCCCACTGCCTGGGTGATCTTACGCACGCCCAGGGCTTTGCAGTTCGTTCACTGTCACACCTGGCCTGGGACTCCAGAACTGGCTTATGCTGCTGCTGCTCCTGGTCAGGACGGTATTCGAGGCTGCCACAGCCTTTCCCTCAGAGCAGCTGGTGGGTTCAAACAGCAGAGCTCTTGATTAGCAGCCAGTTGCTTTAACCACATTGTCACCAGGGCCCCTCGAGTTCCGGTCACTTGCAGGGAGCCCTGTTGTGTGCAGCCCCTTGAGGAGTCACCTGAGCAGCCGCACTAGCCGCCCGTTCCCCCCTTCTGCCCTCACTGCTTTATTTTGCGACGTGCCTGGGGTGGACGGACTCAGCAGGCAACATTTGAAATTAATTGAAAGGCATGGGACTGGCCAGATTGAAGAATATATATAAACTTAAATTTTTCTTAGTGATACTATTTTTAATTTGTTAAGGGCATCAAAAGTTGTGAGACTGGGTTGTTAGCTTTTGAACTGTGGGCTCAGCAAAATGAGCTTGCTTCTGCGTGTGTAATAAGCGGATGAGAAGGGAGGCACTGCCTCTCTAGTGAGTTTGGGCGTGTGGGCCCATGGGAACTTGACCTTGTGCTGAAGTGGATGCCTGGGTGATGGCAGTCCTCTGGGTTTCACAGAGTGTAAGGCTGCTTTAATTGGCCCATCCCTCAACTTCTGGTGGTGACACCCAGCCACACTATTCTGCCTTTGGGAGACGGGTGTAGGTGGTGATAGGGCACTGGAGTCACATTCTACACTGTTACTATTAGAACAGGTGTACCGGATATGACCTTCCTGTTGGAAAGTGGCTGGGATAAGAGAATTGTCTACATTGGGCCTGAGGTAGGAAGCTAAGGATCGTTGGCGCCAGCATTATATCCCACGAACAGGTTATCTCTAAACGTGTAGCTGTTGCCTCATTGGGTCAGCCTGTACTAAAACATGGGGGCCCACCAGCTGCTCTTTGCAGAAGGATGCAGGGATGTGTACAGGCTTGGGAACCCTGTAGGATCACTATGAGGCAATTGACTTGGGAACAGGCTTGTGTTATGTGTAGGATAAGATTTCTTAACTCTTTTTAGAGCAGTGGTTCTCGACCTTTCTCATGTAGTGACCTCTTTCCCCCCCCCCCCCAAACCATGAAATTACTTTTGTTGCTACTTAATCACTAATTTTGCCACTGTTCTGAATCAGGTGACCCCTCGTTCGACACACAACCCGCCCCCCAAAGGGATCGTGACCCCCAGGTTGAGAACCGCTGCTTTAGAAGTCTAAATGCAAGCATGTACATAAGTAAATGTATTTATAATGATAGGGAAATAGATCCATGGACATATGTTTGTGTTGAGTATTAAGGCAGCAGACACTGGGCCTCTATACTCAAGTACTCAACACAAGAACACTATGTTCTAATAATCTGGCATTCTATGATGCTCACCTTCCCGACAGGATCACTGAAGACAAAGTGGGTGCGTAAGCAAATGTGAAGAAAGCTGATGGTGCCGGGCTGTCAAAAGATTATAGCATCTGGGGTCTTAAAGTTAATCTAGCTGAGAAGCAACAAAACCCATATGGAGGAAGCATACCAGCCTGTGTGATCATGAGGTGTCAGTGGGCTAAGGTATCAGGCATCAAGAAATCACCCATGTGAATGAGGGGAAGTGCAGAGTGGAGACCCAAAGCCCATCTGTAGACAGTTGGACTTACCCTCACAGAAGGGTCACAGGGGAGAGACAAACCATTCAGGGTGCAGTATAGCACCAACGAAACACAATTTTCCTCTAGTTCTTAATGCTTCCTCTTCCCCACTATCATGGCCCCAGATCTACCTTACAAACCTGGCTAGACCAGAGGATGTGCACTGGTACAGATAAGAGCTCGTAACACATGAAATCCAGGACAGATCAACCCCTCAGAACCAATAATGAGAGCAGTGACACCGGGGGAGTAGGGGTCCAATCACAATGATTGACTAACTCCCTCCCAGGGGGACAAACAGAAAAGTGGGTGAAGGGAGACAGTGGTCGGTGTAAGACATGAAAAAAAAATTTAGAAGTTACCAGGGGTTCATGGGAGAGGGGGAAATGAGCTGATACCAAGGGCTCATGGAGAAATAATGTTTTAAAAATGATGGCAACATGTACAGGTGTGCTTGACACTGGATTATGAGAAGAGCTGTAAGAGCCCCCAATAAAATGGTTCAAAAAAAAGAATGTTCCCTTTTGCTGCTTAATATTTAAACTTTAAAAATCATGATTGAGCAGTCACTATCTGAAATTTCTATATTTAGTCCGTTCCTTTAATGTTGCCTCTGTGTCTTGTTATCTTTTGAGTTACAACTTGAAGATCATGAAGTAAAGATACTGCCCTGGTTGAGGTCAGCAAACACGAGGAAGGCCCTTGATTTCGTAAATGCTGACTCAGAGTGTCAGGCTACGTTGCTAGGGTTTCACAAGCACAGGAATCCCAAAGGTTTTCATGGGATTTTGGGGAAGATTGCAGATCAAGTATTCCACAGACTTTAAAACAAAGGACCACAACCGTGTTTTACAGTCTTTGGCAAGTGATAGAAAAGAAAAGAAAAGATTGTTGGCGCAGTTTCCCACATCACCCCTGGACCCATCAGCCATTCTGTCAGGTATAGCGAAAGGAGGGTGAAATCAAAGCAGGTCTATCTGAAGAAACCTCTGGGACTATGAGGGGTGGGGTGGGGAGCAAAGGGTCCAAGGAAGACTGCCGCTAATCAAGATCCCAGCAGGAGCAGTTTGATGCCACCCATTAACTGGCAGATAGTGATGCCATGTGGCTGATCCGTGGCATAGGGTATACTAAACCAAGGCTCACAAGTCCTGGTGGTTGTGTGTTAGGCTGCTAATTGCAAGGCCGGCAGTTTGAAACCACCAGCCGCCCCCAAGGAGAAATTGGAGGCTTAGTGCTCCCATAAAGATTTCCAGCCTTGGAAACCCACAGGAACAGTTCCACCTGGTCCTATAGAATTGCCACGCGCTGGGATTGACTTGACAGCAGGGAGGTTTCTGAGTGACTGGTGATTTTGAACTAGCAGCCACTGCACCACGTGAAGCAGACGGGAGACCCCCAGCCTTTCCTTCTCTAGTTTTCTGGGCTTACATGTTGCAGAATTTACCTAGAAGCAAGAGAAGACAACCTGGGAAATCCCTTGGAATCCTAAAAGGAAGAGAGGAAATAATGAATCGGAACAATTAGAAAACTAATCAGCAGAGCACCATGAGCAGAAAGGGCACCGGAAAGGATGTACAGTAAGTCCCCGCGGGGCTCAAGGCCGCTTGCCCTTTAATGTTAGGTGCGTTGGCCCTTACTTTGAAATGATTGAACCAAAGACTCCCCGTTGGCGATGTCACTTCTGATCCAGCAAGCCTACAGGGCACAGCAGCACTGCCTGGGGGGTACCAACTGCTGACCTGGTGGTTCGAAGCCCAACACCTAACCCACGATGCCACCGGGCTTCTGACGCAAGCCCGGCTCTCAGTGAATCCGTCATCACAATCACGTTCTTTCACCACACATGCAGTTGGTTTTTTTAAATCATTTTATTGGGGCTCGTACAACTCTTACCACAATCCATCCATTGTGTCAAGCACAATTGTACATTTGTTGCCATCATCAGTCTCAAAATACTTGCTTTCTGCTTGAGCCCTTGATATCAGCTCCTCATTTTCTCCCTTTCTCCCCACTTCCCCTTCCTCATGAACCTTTGATAATTTATAAATGATTATCTTGTCATATTTTACACTGTCCCACGTCTCCCTTCACCCACTTCTCTGCTGTCCATCCCCCCAAGGAGGAAGTTATATGTAGATCCTTGTCATCGGTTCCCCCTTTCTACCCCATCTTCCCTCCACCCTCCCGGCATCGCCTCTCACCACTGGTCCTGAAGGGATTATCTGTCTTGGATTCCCTGGGTTTCCAGTTCCTATCTGTACTAATGTACATCCTCTGGTCTAGCCAGATTTGTAAGGCAGAATTTGGATCATGATAGTGGGGGAGTGGGGGGAGGAAGCATTTAAGAACTAGAGGAAAGTTGTATGTTTCATCGTTGCTACCCTGTGCCCTGACTGGCTCGTCTCCCCAGCAACCCTTCTGTAAGAGGATGTGCAGTTGCCTACAGATGGGTTTTGGGTGTCCACTCTGCACTCACCCTCATTCACAATGATATGATTTTTTTGTTCTTTGATGCCTGATAGCTAATCCCTTCGACACCTCATGGTCACACAGGCTGGTGTGCTTCCATGCACACATGCAGTTTTTAAACTAATGAAAAGGCTTCAAGACACTTTTAGTATAAGGTGACCAGATTTTAACATTGGTAAAGTGGGACACCATTGATAAAACTCATATCCTGGTGAAATAGCCACATGGCAGCCGAAAACCGTCTACCCTAGCTTGTCGTGCATTCTTTCAAAAAATCGGGACTTTTTAAAAACACCACGGGAGGTGGAAAAAATTGTTAAAAATTGGGACTGTCCTGCCAAAAGCGGGACATCTGGTCACCTTATTTTAGTCTAAAGACGAAATAACTGTATGGGCTTGTTCTGACTTACAGGCAAATTCAATGTAAAGATAACCCTTAGGAATGGCTTTGGTTTGTAACTGAGGGGCTGCCTGTGCAGGAGGAGGTTATAGAATATGTGGCTATAGGGTGTCTGCTGTGTGAGTGATGGGTGTGGGCGGGTAGGAGTCAAAGTTGGGGTAGTGGACACTGAGCTAGAGAGTTGAGTCCCAGTGG